GGTTTTGTGCAAACAACTGAATGTCCATTATGAACATCTTCGAGCATCGAAGAGTGCATCATTATACCTGATACCGGGAAGCTTGTACACAGAAGACGATGACCGATTTGATAATGGTATCATCTGACTTATGACGCTCTGGAATTAATATTCGTTTTAATGGAACGCGAAGCTGTCAACAAATCACCAGCTTGCTTTGAGAAATAGAGTGTCATGCAACAATCTTGTGGCAAAAGCAACCATAGCATCAAATATGAAATATCTTCAATGTCCACGAGAGCGAAATTTGCCAACAACGTTGCATGACGGTTTGAACAGATCTCGGTAATGAAAACTGATGTGGAAACCGAGGGCAGCTCTTTAAGCGCTACATACTTGAGGCGGCCGTCGAAGCTGTGGGTTGGCCTGCCGCCCAGGAGGTCAGAAAAGATCTACCTGGTGGATAAGAGAGGTACAACTGGCAGTTAAAGAGAAGGCAGCGTTCAAGAAATGGCTTAGAAACAAAGAGCCTTCTACTCGCGTGCCATATGTCGAGGCACACAAGACGTCATCGAAAGCAGTGGCGAAAGCCAAAGCTGATTCTTGGAAGAAGTTCGGTGAGGTGTTGGAGTCGAATTTCCACACGGCAAACAAGGTATTCTGGCAGACCATCTGCCGACTCTGAGATGAAAAGAAGGGCAGTGTAAGAGTCTTGAAGGACACGTCTGGACACCCTCAAACTGAGGATAAGGACATCCTTCAGCGATGGAGAGAGTACACTGAGGAACTCGTTAACCACGAGCAACCGCAGGAAGACTTGCCTGCAGAACGGTAGGGAACGGGCATTATCATTTCTGTAGATGAAATTACACAAGCTGTGAAAAGATTGAAAAATTGAAAGGCTGCTGGAATTGATGAAATCCGCCCTGATATGCTCAAGGCATTAGGCGAATACGGCATATGCTGACTGTGACGCGTCTGTGAAACTGCAATGACTGCGGGAAAGACACCAGCGAACTGGAGAACGGCAGTTACTGTGCTCCCATTCAAGATGAGAGATCAGGTGGAATGCTCCAGTTATAGGGGTATAACGTTATTCAGCCTCCCAGGCAAAAGGTGCAAGAAAGTGCCGCGGAATAACTGATTTGAAAATACAAGAGCACTGTGGTTTCCTACGTGGTCGAAGCATGCCTGACTATATATTTGCCCTGCGCTAGAATGTTCAGAGATCGTCGGAGTACGCCTGTCTGGTGTACATGTTTTGTTGACCTAGAAAAAGCCTATGACTAGATCCCACGCAACGGCATGTGGTCATGCCTTCGAGCATACAGGACAGGTGGCTACCTGCTAAGGGTAAGCGAATCACTGTATTTTGATAGCAGGAGCTGCGTCAGAGTAAATGGGGTTAAGTCGAGTCGGAACCCATTTCCGCAAAGGCTGCGTCATGTCCCCTCTCTTCTTTGGGTTGTACATGGATAGAATAGTCAGGAGCAGGCAAAGCGACGTGAAGACGAGAAGGTTGCTGTTTGCAGACGACCCTGTTTTATTAGCATCTTCTGAAACTGATCTCCAGTGCTCCTTAGAAAGGTTCATTGCCGAGTGCGACGTGACCGGCATGCGTGCGAACCATCTAAAACGAAAAGCCTAGCGCTTTCTCGTTCTCCTGCCCGTTGCTCTCTTTAGATTAACGAAGAGGCAGTGGAGCAGGTGGAGAAGTTCAAGTACCTCGGAACTATATTTACTAGTGATGGTACGGAGAGGTAGTGGAGCAGGTGGAGAAGTTCAAGTACCTCGGAACTATATTTACTAGTGATGGAAAGTTGGAGGAAGAGATGGAAAGGCGAATTGGAGTAGCCAGTGCCGTTCTGCGTGAACTCGCCCGACCCATTGTGACTAAAGCAGAGCTTATTCTGAAAAGTAAGCTCTCGATGTTCAAGTCGATCTTTATCCCCATACTTATCTACGGTCATGAATCGTGGAGAATCACTGAAAAAATTCGAACCCGAGTACAAGCTGCTGAAATGGGCTTTCTTAGTCGAGTCGGTGGCCTAACGCGTCTCGACATGGTCCGGAATACTAACATCCGGGAGAGCCTTGGGGTAAAGCCTATGCTTTTCGGGATTGAGAAGTCACAGCTGCGATTGTTTGGGCATGTGCTGCGAATGCCTCGAGAAAGAAAGGCGAATCTACTGTTTCTTGCGAAACCGAAGGCGGGCGTGGGGACGGCGAAGATTAGCGTGGTGCAAATATATGGAAGGAGTCTGTTCCAGTCAACAGTTGTCTTCTGCCGAAATTCAGACTCTGGCAGAGGATCGGGAAAGTTGGAATCTCTATCTGAGGGGTCTGCCTCCGGGAAGCGAAAAAAGAACCGGTCATGGAAGATGAAGTTTTCGCCTTCACGTTTTTCGTTTTCGTTACACATTCATTGCTTCTTCTTCTGCGCATCGATCACCATCAGAAGCAGAACCTTTCTGCTTGCTCATCTTTTATGCCCCGGGCCAAGATGAACGTTTGTAGGTCATCTTAGATGTCTGTGGGTCTTTAGGTCGTTCAACATGCTTTAAAAACTCTTGTAATTCTCTACTGCGATATTGGTATATGAATTTAAATTAATCTGACCTGGAATTACTGATTTATTTTGTTATACAGTGGTTAGTTTTCGATTTGTAGTTTAGGGTGCAAGAAGTAAAACACAATGACAATACACGTCCTTCTTTAACGCGCCAATACGGGTTTGTTATGATTTTCTTTTTTTAATGCAATGCATTTGTTTATTTTGCATAATTTTTAATCTTGCAGAAAAAGGTTGGCGTCAATATTTTCATCCATATTAACTTAACAAAAAATATGTCTGAGTTATTATCTTAAACTGTGTCGAAAAATAGCTAGTGTTTCACTACCAAAAATTCCAATAGTTGTTAAAAGCTAATTGTAATTACTAGCTTAGATACATGTATAGTTTACCATCCATGGTTCAAGGCGACAGTTCACAAGAACAATGGAAAATTTTTTATTTAATGGCGTTTTGATTCCGCGTACCATTTTTAGTATTAGGGTAAAAATGGAAATTCCTCAGTAAATAAAGGATTTACATTGTCTTCATAATCTGTTGCAATGAACCGTTGAGCAGGAAACATTTTAAAAAATGTTATTCGAACAGCCAGTGAATCAATTTTTTTGCCGTTATTGCTCAAAAAGTTGTTATTCGTGTAATAAAATGTTTATGTGGAGAAACTCGTAATAAACATGAAGACTATAGAACTATTTTCCCGCGTCAAGTTCATTAACAGTAAATGCATTTAAGGTCCTTTTATAATACGGCCTCTTCTGATGGTCATGCCAATAAAAGAACACTTTCTGATCGATATTGGCGACTACGTACCGCAGAATGAACCGAAGGTTATTCAGAAAAACGAAGAGATGTCTGGTGCCTAAAAAGTTACTTATCATGTCAAGCGTTTTTCGCTGTCGCTGTGATCAGATTCTGTGACTGGCATCAAATACCTTGGCACAAAGATCATGCTACTTTGGTAGACCTGGTTTCGATTTGTCCGTTTATGTCTTGTGCTGAACTTCTTACATTTAGTAAATGCCGTTTATGAGTACCTTTTTGCAATGGAGCAGAGAAGCGTATCAACACAGTCAAAATAATTCAACTCTACAAGGTAACCTTCAGTTTTCATTAAGAGTCGATTTTTCACCAGTTTCTTGATATACATAAAAGTGTATTTATAAAACTTTAAGAAAATCCCGCTTGCATGCATTACCGTATACCAGTAATGCAAAATCTGTTCTCCCATCTGAGGAAGCAGTCTTGAAACAGCGACAAGATCTTTCCGTCTACGCCGCTAGCGTGTCTAATAATGAAACAGTAGACAGTGTAGGAAATTCAAAAATTAAATAATTAAATTTCACTAATGTTCCAGTGAAATGGTTGAGGAATAGCCGGCTTTTTCTGAGGCTTTTGGCCAGGTCTAAAATTGTCGCCGGTTAAAAGTCATTTGAAGTTACTGCTATAGTTGACTGATATTTAGGTATTCTAGTGGCATGCCTCTGCAATTCGATGTCAACTATATAGTCGAGCTGCATATCAAAACTATCAAGAGAGCTTTTGTTTTACCAATAGTTCAGGTTTATTCATATGAAGAAATGAAAGTCTCAGAATGTAGCGATTAATGTACAACATAAACAGAATTTTAAAAAACCCAGATTTTTAATAATCTGGAAAAATTGGCTTAAATTCATACATTATATGCGTGTGATGAGAAATGAAGCGCGATGGGAAACAAATTTTGTAATTACTTTAACTACATTATGGCACACTTACTAAGAACTGTCCCATTAGAGAATGTCATTAAAAATTTGAAAGCTTCGTTTGAATGTCCGTAAAGTGAAACAATAAGAACAGTTAACAATATTCTGCATCAAAACATTTGAGACAGATTCAGCATCAACTGAATAATTGTTTCGAAGGAAGTGATAGATTCTTCGGAAAGAGGCGAAGTTTTGAATACTGGATTCTTCATTCTAAATGATACTTTACTTTTCAGAGATATTGCTTGCCTTTATAGACTTCTGACAGCGTTGAGGATCTGAGGCTGCCATGCTGTTCTACCTTAGATCATAACATCTATCCTGAAAGACATGCATAAAGGAAACGCGTGGGCAACAGATTCGAAAGAAAGCTGCTATTTTTTTTACCATACTGCACATTGACAGAGATATGACACTTCACTTATCCTTTACACATCGCTTGGCACAGTATGCTTGGAAATGGTGTTGACTAACCTGTCGAAGAAAGACTATCCTCTGTTCGACTGTGTTCATGATTTCAGATATTTACTCAAAGAAGCCTTCGTTATCAACGGACAACCTCCGTGCAGATTTATGCAACCAAAGCCTATCACTCTTTTCCCCATAGAGCAACATGTCAGAGAAACTTATTGCAGTGGTGTTGTGTGTTTGTCATAATCTTTAGCATCCTTGTAAACCTGCAGGCGTCCTACACATGCAATGTCTGCTACTCATAATTTATCGCGTTTTCATATCAGGAGCTGTTAACTGCGTCGATGAAGTAATGAACATCTACAAGAGATCGAGGTCTAGTTTATTCTGTACTATGTGGTAGACTGGCTGCTGAGTTTTCGCCATCTATGCTCGGATTTCCACTTCAGTAGCTGACGTATTAGTGAGGCTTCATTGCAAATGATCGAACCACCGTCTGTCTTGCTGCACCTTTGATAGGTTGGTCAGTGCTAAAATTCGATCGTTTTTTATGTGGTCCTACCACTTGATCTTCAGCAGCCGGCACGACCAACGCTGTTGTAGTTTATTCAGCCTATAATCTTGTGCTCTTGTAAGTGCAATCACTGCCAGTCCATAAAGCAGAATTGGTCTGAAAACAACGCGACAGAGTCGAATCTTGGAAGGAACTGCTATTTCTCATAGAATGGATATCTCATTAGGACGGGGCCGTGTCATCAGTTTTCTTTCATTTTAGTTTAATTCGTGAATTTTTTCTTCTGACAGTAATGTCAACTGCTCGATTGACCAAGATTTACTACAGTCAACTGCATCAGACAAAACGGCGCAGAGGAACATGATACCTTTATAAGTGCTACGAAATAATGAATCACATAGTAAGATTTACCAGTTAATTACGCTGACCCTGCCCGGTGATGAACTTCTCTTGCAAACTCTTAAACTACGAACTTTAATCCAAGAATCAGAACCCTCAATGATAACCAAAGCCACCATTCCTTAGAGCCTGTAAAACCAATCGAAGCTCTATACTGTCGAATCTACTGCACCGAATGCTATTTTCCGTGCATCTCTTTTACATCCGAGTACACTGCGTGGTTGAACTCGTCGTTCAAAGGAATTCGGCGGTTAATACCCAATTCAGAAACCCAAATAGTTGTGTCATACTTTCCCTATGACTTTTCAAAAGTAAGCTCACAGTTTTAGACTTCATTTGGAAAGTCACTTGATGGCAACTTCTCACTATCACTTAGATACGTCCAGTATACTACGAATTAATTTTTGATGCCCAAACTTGGCGGTTAAATATTCCAGGGACCGACTACCTGTTCAACTCTTGCCAATATCCTGCTAAGTATAGGAGTCGCACCCGGCAAGACCGAGGATGAAGCATAGAGCAATGAAGAGGCTGGTAGTACTTTCTGTCGAAACGTTTAACAAGAAACAGCTCTGCGGTGGCGATAATTATGAAAATTAATTCCGTCCTTACTAGTTAGAGCAAAACTATGTGACAGTCAATCAAGACTGCTAAATAATAAACTGTTAATAGATAAAGAAAAGGACAGAAGCCTGAAAAAAATATCTTTAACAAGTGAAGCTTTCAGAACACATAACGGAGTTTACTGTTCAGCACAAATTACTAATGACTTGTTACTTTCCCGGAATTACACGGCGTAGTGCACAATCCTTTTGTTTCCAACAGCAATGGAGACCGTTTAAACGGGATACGGCATTATCGTATTTCAGCAGCTATGGTGAGTGGGCGCAACACTGCACCACTTTGTTGGGTAGAACAAAATCATATTCGGACAACACCGAATATCCCTAGGCACATATACCAAAAAATAAACCTTGATATAATGGACTTGCTAGCAAACTGCTAGTTTTCAAAACCGTCGCGTTTGTACGACCCAAAAGCTGATGGTTCAGGTTTAAAAATAACATAGAGCCGTTGCCTGCTTAGGTATGTTAGAATATTAGAAACACCGGCTCAGTGCGCTACGGCGCTTAAATTTCGGTACGTGACGAGAATATTATCCCTACCGGCCGTATTATAAACTAGCAGTTTGCTAGCATAATATACCGAGGCTTATTTTTGGTTAATAAGGACTTTTTGAACATAATTTATTAGTACTGAAGAAAGAACACCTTTGCGGGTTACAAAAGCTTCATTTTCTTACACTATTATCATAAGAACCTGTTTGTGTCATTTCGAACT